ACGAGTTAAGAAAAAGCGAGAAGAAGAAGACGATCGTAAACCGGGGCGTTTAGGTTCAATTAATATATCTGATAAATACTTAGAAAATAATTTAGATTGAGACTTATACATGAACGTGCAAATTTTAAAAATTATTCTATATTTTATAGGTAGCCAGTGCAAGAGAACAAGATATGGAGATATATGAGAAAAGAAAGGGGCTCGAGCAACTAGACGAGCAGCAGAGTTAAAAGCTTTACTTAAGGATAGAGTATAGAGTCAGGAAGACCATAGTAGAGCGAGTTACAATAATCAATCCTAGATAAGACTAATGAAGTAACAAGAAGGAGAAGAGTAGGATCATCAAGAAAAGGCAAAAGTTTTTTTATTCTACGTAGATGAAAGTAAGAGCTTCTAGCAACACTATTAATCTGAGAAGAGAGAGACATAGTAGAATCAAAGATAAAACCTAGACTACGAAACTTATGAGAGACATCAAGAGTTTTAGAATCAGGTAAGATAATAGGAGAAATAGTAATTGAGTGTTTAGATTTATTAAAACAAATTAATTCAAACTTAGAAGGATTAAGTTTAAGACACATAGAGTCAGACCAAGCGATAATCGAAGAAAGACATAGAGATAAATTATGAAGAACACTATTGAGATTAGATGGAGGAAAAGAAGTATAAATATAAGAATCATCAACATATAGTTGACTAGAGAAAGAAAAGTTATTAATAATACGAGGTAGTTCAGAAGTATAGAGTATAAATAGAAGAGGACCAAGGTTAGAACCCTGAGGTACCCCGAAAGTAAGAGTAGAGGAGTTAGAAGTAGAATTATTGAGAACAACAGAAGAAAAACGATTACAGAGATAAGAAGAAAACCAAGATAGACAAGAATCAGTAATATTAAAAGAAAGATGCAGCAGTCTCAAGAGAATAGTATGGTCAACAGTATCAAAAGCTGAAGAAAAGTCAAGAGCAAGAAGAAGAGTAAGATTACTATTGTCACTAGAGAGAAGGATATCATTGTGTATTTTAAGTAAAGAAGTTTCAGTACTGTGAGCAGGTCTGAAACCAGATTGAGATACAGGTAGCAAAGAGTTAAAGTCTAAATAGGATGAGAGTTGATTAAAAACAACTTTTTCTATTATTTTAGAGATGAAAGTAATATTAGTTACAGGTCTATAATTAGATAAAGAGGTAGGATCTAGGGATGAATTTTTAAGAATAGGAATAACAATAGAATTCTTATAAGAAGTAGGAAATTTAGAGGTGGAAAGAGATAAATTAACTAATTTGAGAATGATTGGATAAAATATTGAAGAAAATTCTATAAGTAAATTAGAAGGAAGTAGATCTAGAGAAC